GTTCAAGCTATTTTCCAAACTCCTCACATTTACCACCTGTTACCCGCCTTCAAAGTTCTTCCTGACAACTCCTTGGAGAAATGGGACAGGCAAAAATACAAGGTGAGTCTGAAGTACCTGATAAAGGAAATGCTTTTAAAAAAAATAGGCTAACATCAAAAGGACACAAGTCAAAACTAGAACAACTGAAGCAATAAAGTAATAAGTAAAAAAGCAAAAATAAGTTAGAATAACACTGGATTACAACCCCAAATAACTAAAAATCTAAAAGTTAATGGGTAGTGTTTAAAAAATGGGAAAATTAAGTTCTTAAAAGAACTAGATCGCACATGCCGTAATGAAGAGTCCACAGAGCCACAACTACAGATCCTGTGTAAAGACCCTGCACAGCCAAATAAGTAATTTTTTTAAATGAGAATAGACACCTTTCTTACAAAAGAATTTTAAATGTAGAAAACACAAGGGAGATATAGAATCAACATGAGAACACCTCAAGAGCTGCAGGCAACATCTACAAATAAATGAAAAAATTTAGCAGGGAAACTAGAGAAACAAAGAGTATCTACTTAATTTCCAAGTGTTTTTCCCCCAAAAAGTTCAGTTACATACAGCGGTAGCTTTAATACATGTTCGTAAATTCTAAGGCTCTCCTTCCTTAGCGACCAGCTTCTAATGAAAATAATGCAAAGGAAAGAAATACTACCTGGTAGCCACCACATTATCAAGTGATCAAGGTTAAAGTCAACCAGCAATGATATTATGTGCCCCAGGACGTGGTGAGAGAGCTAAACCACCTCTGTGGTATTTCCCCCAAAATCTATAACCTTAGTCTACCCAGCACCAAGTACACTCAAATGGAGATCAAGTGCCAAGGTCATTAAACACAAAGAAAATACAACAAACTGGCACAGATCAGAGGAGCAAAACCAAGGAGACTGGAGGACTAACTGCAATGTGCTATGTTGGACTGAATTCTGAAACAGAAAAAAGGACATCAGTGGAAAAACTAAGGAAATACAAATAAGGTCAGTCCTTTAGTTAACAGGACTTTATCAACGTCAATTTCTTACTTTCGATAAATGCATCATGATTAGGTATGATGTTAAAAAGCAAGATGAGTGAAGGGTATACAAGACATGTCTGCATTGCAACTCTCCTATAAATCTAAAATTCCCTCAAAAACAAGTTTCCCCAAGAGAAAAAAACTTAAGAATTGGGAAACTTAATTCACTAACTTTTCTTGGTTTTTAATATCCCTCCCCCAATCCAGCAATAAAACCCAGTCAACTAGATTTACAATTAAGCAAAAATCTGGCCTAAGATGAAAAAATACTTTTATAATACTTCATCTATGAAATTCCTTAAACATGAATTTCCTATGCTTTAGATCTCATAAGGTATAGATGGATGTATGCCAGGAGTAAGCTTAAGATAGCTGATAAACATGGGGTATACTTGAGGCAGGTTAAAAAAAAAAAAACCTAAAAAGGCAGGTGCCACTGATGCCTTCCAAGAGTCTAAAAACTTGAAAATTTTTTGAATAAGGAAATATATGTAGCACGTATCTACTAGGTACACCACAAGCTTTACAAAATAGTTTAAGACAATTACTTGGGTTGCAGCGCTCTAGGTCTTATAAGCAAAAACATGAGAACACCTAAAATGTGTGAAAGAACTTCAAAAATACATAAAGGGTTATACAAATAAGCAATGATGCTGCCACAAAGCCACTTAAGGATGACAATCCTACCAAGTCAAAGTGTGTCCCATGCAAGAAGCCAGTTTTTTCTATGAACCATCTCTAGTATTTGCTTTTTATTAATTATCTGAAATATATCAAACAGGCTAAACAGCTAAGCAATATGACATTAGAGATTGGCCAGTGGTCAGAAGTGGAAATCTATCACTTGATGTCATCTAAAGCCTTGATTTTATTTACAAAGGCCACGGCCTTCAAGGGAACTTTTAATTACTTTCTGCTTTGTAAAGCTCCCTCTTCCCACTTTCTTTTTTAATTTTTTTTTCCTCTTCCCACTCTTCATGTGCAAATTTTTCCTAACTCTTCACCCTCTTCACCTAATCATTAGGTTTGCAATTAAGTTTTCCCAATCAAAGCCAGATGGCATGACTAAGGATACTAAAAAAGTAAACAGAATGCGGATTTTTGAGATTTAAAAACATAAATGCAGTTGTTCACCACAGAGCGATCACTAACTACAAGTGACTACAGTTGCTAAACCTCAATAACTCCATGGCTGGAAGGACAGTATTGTACTAAATGTCCTATAGCTGTTAAAAAACAGCTAGCTAGTTAAAAAACTGACTAGCCAGAGGTGGGGGAAAAAAACCTTTTCTTACCTACCTACTTTAACAATCATCTTCCTTTTTAAAATCAGTAAACCTTGCCAAGGCAGTCTTAAAGCACAATTAAATGAATAAACAGTGCATACTTGAATTTTGAAATATTTTAAAAAACAAATCTAACTGCAAAATGTTGAAAGATCAGGTGAGTAATGTTATAAACTGGCAAAAAGAAAAATAGGTTTAGGTCACACAAGCAGGCTTTATACCAAATTTCATCTTTTAACACTGTCCCATCCATCTTAAGTATATATCAGTTCACAAACCTATAAAAATTTAAAACTAACCTCTGCCCTTTGCTTTCTAGGCAAAGTACTAAAACAAATTATTAAAAATGTAAATTACCAAAACCTGCTGCGAAGTAGGTCACCAAGAAACATTATCAAATCTAATGTTCCCTTAACAGACTGTCAGCTGAGAACAGCAAACTTGAGTTAAATAAAAGAACAAAGAACTACCTACTTTTCTACCACTTAGAAGAGGTACAAAAGCTTACACTCAAAGGATTTAACAACAAAAGTAATCTCTAGTTTGGATGGGAGACTGGAAGGCAGACAAGTCTGATATTATCACAATTTGCTTCAATTAATTTGCTCCAGATAAATGAAAGCACAAGTCATCAACCAGGCTACCAATCTGCAAAATACATTTTCATATTCCTACCCAACTGGAACCCATTCGCCTCAAGTCAAGAAATTTTTTAAAATATCTAAAGAGGAAACTAGCAAAAATTTCCCTCATTTAAAGCACAAACTTTCATTGTGATATTTACCTCAAGTAACAATTAGTGGACTCAAATGAACAGTTTAAATGTTGGTCATTAGTGTTTCAACGTATGATAACTTAAAATGTTACTAGTTAACTGGTATCTAAATGCAGGTAACTGTAATGGTTACAAGAAGGCAGGTTCCGGAACTTCCCTGGTGGTCCAGTGGTTAGGACTCCGAGATCCCAATGCAGGGGGCCCAGGTTGACTACCTGGTCAGGGAACTAGATCCCACATGCCTCAACCAAGACCCAGCACAGGCAAATTTTTTTTTTTTATATATAAATTTAAAAAAAAAGAAGGCAAGTTTCAAAGAAAACAATGTTCTACTCCAAGATATCTGCCATTCACGAAAACACCAACAAAGGTTAGGAGCCTATTCATAAGATATTTTGATCCTGTCTTTACTGCTACTTTCGGTTAAGAGATAAGGAAATTACTGGGTAAATAGAAACACAAAAGTGTTTCCAAGCTTTTTAATTTATTTATAAAGATGTGAATCATGTGTTCCCTCTAGCAGCAAAATAAGGGCTTCCCTGGTGGTTCAGACAGTAAAGAATCTGTCTGAATGCAGGAGACCTGGGTTCAATCCTTGGGTTGGGAAGATCCCCTGGAGAAGGGAACGGCTACCAACCCAATTTTCTGGCCTGGAGAATTCCATGGACAGAAGAACCTAGCAGGCTACAGTCCATGGGGTCGCAAAGAGTCGGACATGACTGAGCGACTTTCACTTCACTTAGCAGCAAAAAAAATTCTTATATAAAGGTCAATTCTAAAAAGTGTCTGCACACACGAAACAGATTTTAAAAAGAGAAAGAAAAAGGTTGACAGTTATTTCGATCAAAATTAATTCGGAAGTGTTAGCTCCAAAACTCATTGAAGCTTTAGCTCAAGTAGAGACATTTGTGATGCCAAGTAATGATTCATACCTGAATATTTATTATTTCATTAAGCCAAGGAATAAACTAGCTTTGAAAAATCTCAAATGTAACTCTAACAGAAAAATTTACACTCAAGTTTTTGAAGGTGTCTTCTACCTTTGCATATAACAGGAGCATATACAGAATACCAAATAAATGTATGAAGACAAAAGCTTTTCATCCATAGAAGTTCCCAACTGCCAGAAGGGTAAGATTCCCAACACCTCAATCACCCCTAATTCATCCAGCTTAGGCTTCACAGAGGGTCAAGCCTGTGGGCACCAAGCTTTCCACTCCAATTTCAAAATTTCACTTACACATGCTGGCCAGACCTGAACCTCATCGCTCTGAAACCTCATTTTTTTCAACTACATAAAACGAGGAAGTTAATCTTGTGGAAGGGCTTTCTCAAAACCTTGCTCCAATTAAAAAATGGAGGGAAAAAAAGATTCAAGATCTAATATCAGAGCCTAACTTCCTGCTGGCGGTAACTTCCCATCAACAGGCTGTAAGGATCGAATCCGAGGAGGAACACTGTTCAGGATCACCTGGACGTATTGATTTTATTCTACACTTTCCCCAGAAGCTTTTAGGGCAGCAAACCTGTAGGAAGATGTGCAGAAAGGAACCCTTTCTTACCCTTTGTCATAATCCCACGGCCAACCGTCTTCACCCTGGAAGCCCGCAAGTGGCCCAAGTACAAATAAATGCCTCTGCAGTCGGTCTTCAGAGGCTGCGGTTGTCCCCAGGGACTAGAGAGAGCTCTGGGGGCAAAGATGCCCTGGGCCGCACAGAGCGCTGGAACAAAGAATGAAGCGGGTTCGGGGACTAGGAGTCAGGAGGCCTGGATTCAAACAAATACCTGCCCCTTATGGCCTGTGTGCCTCTGACCGTGTCACTCCACCTCTGGGCCTTCGAGTCGGCTGTAAAAATAGGAAAATCACCGTACCTACCTCATCGGGGCGTTTCAGGAATAAAAGAGAAACACACAAGTTGCTCCGCACAGTGCCTGGCACATAGTGAGGGCTTAGAAAAATGTTAGTTATTATCATCACTCAATACGCATGAACTCGCTGCCCACCCTTTACTCCCTGTAAAGAAAATCGAAAACCTAGGAGCAGCATTTCGGCTTCCAGTGTCGAGAAATTCTCACCTCACTTTCGTGCCTCCCCTCCCTCTCCCCTCCCCCTCACCCCACCACCATCAAAGAAAAGCCTCCTCTGGTCTAGGTTAAGCTGGAGCCCCCACCAAAGGAGGAAGGCCTCGGCTGGCGCGCGGGGAAAGCGAGCGGGAAAAGCTGACGAGCCGGCCGCGCGGGGCCCCAGGTCCCCGAGATCACCCTGGGGCCCGGGCGGCGGCCGCGGCTCGCTCTCGCCCCGCGTGGCCGTTGGGCGAGGCACGCGCACTCGGCGGACGCGGACACGGCCACGCGCGCCGGGCCGGTGGGGGCGGGGGGCGGAGAGTCGCCGCGCGCCCGTGCGCCCGCCGCGCGCGCCTGCGGCCGTTGGGGCGGGAGGAGGGGGGTGACGGTGGGCGCGCCTGGCGCGGTCGCCGTTCGGACTTCTCCTCCCTCCCATCAGAGCCCCAGTTAGTCCTCGTCCTGGGGCCGCCCAGCCCCGCCCATGCTCCGGCTTACCTGCGCGGCTGAGCGGGAGAGGAACAAGCTCTGCTCCACGGCACGACAGAAGGTAAAAAAAACCCCTCACGCAACTGCGTCCGCACACACGCGTGCTCCGTCGCCGGGCTATATAACGGTGATACAGCCTAACTTGTTGCGGCCAGGTCGGCCAGGCTGGTGGCCAATCCCGACTGCGTCCTCTGGGCTTTTCGAGCAGCAATTGGGTACTGACTCAGGATGAAGGCGTGGCTCTTGATTGGCTTTAACTCATGCCTATGAAACTGTGAAGAGCTCGTTTCCCTAGTAACGAATTGGCACTGATAGAGGCCAATAAGTGAAGGGTACGGTGGGAAGGAGGGAGGGAACTTCTTTGATCGATGTCTACGGTAGCCAATAAATGCGTGGGGCCGCTCCCATTCGTTAAAATGTCTTCCCCTGGGCGGAGATCAGTTCTCCCTACAGGAGCGGTTGCTCCACAAGGTGGGGCCCGTGTACTTTGGGGAAGTAAACCCCAAGCAACTAGGAGGTGGGCGCCAGGATGGCCAAGGAAGCCCCGGGCCAATCGCAGCGCGGGAAGGAGCTGATTGACGCGGGGGTTGGACAGCACCAAGGAGACCGAGCCCCGGGCCGCCGTGCCCTCTGGGGCGGTACTGAGGTTCTGCCGGTCCCTGCTTCTGTCTCCCTTTTCCTTTCCTCTCTTCACTCCTTGGGTGCGATCCCGGAGACCCCTGATCCCACCTTTCCCGCAGTTTGGTACCAGGGGAACCTGGTGATAAAGTTTCCCGTTGTTTTGTTGCTGTGTTTCTTTCTTTATACCAACTTTATTTCCATGTGGCCGCCAAAGGGCACTTGGTGGCTTCCACCATTAGTCAGCACTATTGGACAACTATTCAGGGAAACCAAAGGGGAAAGTAACTCCCATTGTGTACCTACGATCCTGTAAAAAAGAAAAAGAAAAAAAAAAGTCTCACGTGAAGAGCATTGAGTTTAAAGACATATATTTCTACCCCGCTGTTCTCGGCAAGTGCTGCTGCAGGTCATCTCGTGCGCGTCCACCCAGAAACGGGAGTTTGTAAATTCTCCTAACGGCTTGGGCCTTCCTGCAACATCCTGGGAGCCACCACCATTGTCATTCAGATTTCCAATGCTGTGGCTGTGGGGGTTTATTTCTTCGGGTCGTTACGTCTTGACAAGGTGGCTGACTTGTCAAACTCCTTCGTGAACACCCCGAAGCTTTCGCGAAACACTTCAGGCGCTAAGTGGTGCTCCAGACTGGTCCTGTCCACGTCTCTTACTGTTTTGGGGGGCCCTCTATTAGTCGCCATGGGCGGTTTTATAGGGAAACAGGGTCACGCTTCGGTCCCGTTCTCCTTCCAGGCATGTGACCCTGCAGTAGGGGCTCACTTTAAGTTTTGCAAATTTGGGAATGAAACACGTGGAGCCTCTCGTTGGAGACAAGGGGGCGCGGACAGCAGCTGGTGGAGTCGGAGGTGCGGCCCCAGGAGCGAAGCGGGAGCATCCCTTTGGCTCCCTTAAGCCCCATCCAGCATCGACTTGGCTGATTCAGCATTTATTGGGCTCCAGGGGCTGGGATCAGAGACGATCGAGACGCTGTCCCTGCTCGCTGTCATCCATTCAACAAGCACGGACGCCGCGCCGATAGCTCCCAAAACTGGAGAACCGGTGTGTGGGGCTCTGGAGGCACCTGAAGGGACTCGGCTCAGGCAGAAGCAGCTAAAGGTTTTCTGGAGTAAGGAACCTACAGGATCGTGTTAACCTTGCTAAGAAATTTGAGCTTTATTCTGAAGGCGGTGGAGAGCCCCCAAAAGGTTTCTTAAAAGGATGGACTAAGAATTTTGCATTTTACAAGACAACTTTCCAAATTGAAAAGCTAATGAGAGCTGGTTGGCAACCCTTGAAATTCACAGATTGGTAATTTAACCCAGTTGGCCTGAGATGAGGGGGTCCTGACTATTCTTGATCACATTTGGAGAGAATTTTAAGTGATACAGACAGTTCTTTTTGTAGAACTTTTGGCAGTCTGTTAAAATTGTGTATATTTCCCTTCTTGCTTGATAGCCATGTACTAGGTGTTTGTTACAGCACTGTCCACTTTATTATGATATTTAAAAACTGAAAACATAACTACTCATGAATTTGCAAACTAACTGGTAATATACCCATAATATAGACTACTGTACAGCAGTTTAAAAGAGAATGAGAAAAAAACAGAGGAGAATGAGGTCAAACTATACTGATATGAGCTGATCTCCAGCTGTTAATTGGATTAACTGACAAAAATCAAGTTGAACAAAATATACAAAGAGTTCCAATTTACGTTAAAAATGAAAGACCAGAACTCTTGATTCTGTCTGTTAAAATAGGTGTGTAAGTGTGGAGGAGGGGCAGGGGGACTTAAATTTAAAACAAGTCATCCCCCTAGGTTTGGGAGTGGCAAGGATAACGGTACTTGAAAGAGTTACAATGATACTGTTTTCGACTATGGTTTTGTCTAATATGTCTCTAGGAAGAAAGGAAGGGGAAATAGATTACCAGAGAGAGAATGTGGACAAGACCCCTCAGGTGGCTGTGACTGTCTTCCACAGGAGAGGGCAAGCTGGCATCCTCCTATGGTGTTTCAGTACTAGAATCATAAACCCTCGGGAGGCAGATGCTGGATACTTAGTAAATGTTCAGTGACTAATTTACCTCCATGGAAGTGTCTGGAGTGCTGGTTCTCAAGATGGGGGAGATCTGCCCTCAGGAGACATATGATCTTTTCACAACTAGGAGAGGGGCTACTGGCATCTAACAGATGGGAGCCAGGGAAGCCCAGGAGAGCCCCCAGATGAAGAGGGCCACATTAATAGTGCCGGGTGAGAAGCCCTAATCTAATCATCTAAGGGAGAGTACCCACCCTCCTCCTAGTCTTTCCACTGGTAAGCAAATTGTGCAAACCCCTCAGAACATGACTTCACCCTTTTTTTTCTGCCAGTTCTCCCCAAAGCTCTGAGACTCGGGGTGGAAAGCAAACATCGAGATCCTGTGGGACTCTTCAGGTACATTTCATTTCTATGGCCTGTTATTTTCTGGGGGGAAAAGACTTCATCCTCCTTGACCCTCCTTGAGTTCCAAAGGGCTGGTTCAAATTGTTGCTAGTCAGGGAGATGCAGAGACAGAGGAGGAGCAGTCAAGCAAGTGCAGCCTTGGGGTAGGGTCCTGGTTCCTCCTTAAGAAATATGCATAACAATATCTTTTGAGTTCTGCAGGAACTAAGGCCCCCACCCTGGAGGAGGATGGTAACTTAAGGCTGAGAGTCTTGATCCCTAGAACCATCCCATTACCTCACCACCAACCAATCAAAAGAAAGTCAGAGGGGGGAAGGGCACAACTTTTGAAAGAGTGACAGAGCCCAAAGACATAACATAAACCAATTAGAATCAAATGGGACCAAGATGGCAGTCAAGACTAGACCTTGATCCTCAATCAGCAAATGAAATGACACACCCAGAGGCACCTTGACAGTTCAAAAGACCTAGGAGTGGGCAAGGCCCAACTCCTGAAAATCTCCACCCTTCTCCAAAATAGATGGAATAATCCTCCCACTCATTAGCATATGAAATTACCCAGCCTATAAAAACTATTTATAAAAACACACTTCAAGCCCATACTCCCCCCTGCAATGGCCCACACTGTGGAATGTGCTTCTCTCTGAATCTGAATAAATCTACTTCTTACCTCTCACTTTATCTCACTGAATTTTTTCTGCAATGAGACTTCAAGAACCTGAGCTTCATTACGTCCTAATACCAGGTACCATGGGTTTTGGCTGGGTTCAGGTCCCCAGCTGAGGTAAACAGTTTTACCCTCACCCCAAATTTTGCCAGCAAAAACCTCACACTGAAAACAGGGAGTCTGGGGGTTTTTTAACCTGAGTCACCTATTCCCCATACATGGCCCTCCAATAAGCCTTTCTCTGCTCCGAACTCCAACATTTCAGATTGTTTAGCATCACTGTGCATCTGGCACATGAACTTCTGTTTATTAATAGTAACAGAATGATGCATGGGCAAGACCCCAGAAAACACAGTTTTGTGGAAAGAATGGAAGGGTGGTTGGTGTATTAGGTAAGGAATGGTAAGGAATGCTCCTAAGAATATCATCAGAATCAGGATGTCCAAGACTTGTGGTCCAGTGGCTACGGCTCTGAGCTCCCAATGCAGGGGGCCTGGGTTTGATTCCTGGTCACAGAACTAGATCCCACATGCCACAGCTAAAGATCTGCAGGCCACACTAAAGATCCTGCATGTCACAACAAAGACTGAAGTGTATTGCAACTAATACCTGGTGCAATGTTTTTTTTAAAACTTGAATCAGAATTTCCCAAATATAGCTAATTACTCAGAAATGGTGATTAACTACTTACAGTAGAAACAGGAAATAACCTAAATATGGAACTATATGAGACTAGGTGGATAAAACACAACCATATGATGCACTCGTACAGTGGACTGTCAAACAAACATAGAGAAAATGAAGCAGATCTATGTATATGGTTATAAAGATCTCCAAGAGATGTAAGTGAAGACAGGAAGCAAGGGGGGGGGGGAGGGGACCATTATTAATAGGACAATTATTTCTATTAAGATATTCTGTATTGCTATAGTTGTCCATGCACAATCCTGTATGGTTTTGCTGTACATGCACAGGTAATATCTTGAAGGTGCAGTCATAAGAAACTGTTAATGATTGCTAACAGGGAGATGAAATTGGGCCAGGGTGGGAGAAAGGCTTAGTTTTCATTCATTCAAAGTACCCTTTATAATACTGGAGTGGGAATTACGAGAAAGATTTATATAGATAACACCAGGCTATGGTAATTTAGGTTTAAAGTCTCCTCTGTGTTGGAAACAATTAAATCATACTAAGGATAATCAGTCTAATAACACTAAAAAACTGGGTTATGTGCCTTATAGACGGTGGTGCGAATGTATAATTTCCCTGAAAGATAAAGATTCATACAGAGTAGACTAAGTCAGACGACCTGGGATATACTGGGCTACATCTAAT